CATGTGGTTGCTGGGAATTGAACTCAGGACCTCTGGAAGAGCAGTCAGTGCTCTTAACCTCTGAGCCATCTCTCCAGCCCTGTTTTTTCTATTTTTAATTTTTGGGAATGTTCCTGAATAGGTTTTCTGTAACCTGATAATAGGTTTTCCCACCAACAGAGTAAGCCACATCAAGCCAAAATGAAAAAGTGTAAGTTTGAGCAAAGTGACTCCTGGTTGGAGCAGGTTCTCCAGTCCCAGGGATCAAGGCCAGAGAAGCTTCGTACCCAAACTAAAACAGGGAGATTATATAGTTTGCAGGTGTGGGCTGATGGTGTGTCCACCACAAGCTGGGTTTGTGCTGAATGCTTTAGGTAGGGACTTGGGCTGCTGGCAACTTCAGAGGAGGAGCTGCCATGGCCACCAAGAATGCGGAACTGAGCATTTTGGTGCCTTCGCTTTATTGGAGATTCTCTGAGTGAGTGGGATTTGGAGGGAGGGGGAGGGAGGGAGGGAGAGAGAGAGAGAGAGAGAGAGAGAGAGAGAGAGAGAGAGACAGACAGACAGACAGACAGACAGACAGATAGACATTGCATAGACAGAGACAGAGACAGAGAGACAGGAATGGGGCTTTCTGAATGAAGCAGGAGGGAGCTCGAACATTCCTAATCTGAAGCCAATATTTTAAACTTAGATGAGTTTTAAATTTTTACTTAAGGAGTCAATCCTGACACAGAATACTGAGCTTTTCTAGTTAAACAATGGGTGCAAGGATCTGGACACTAACAAGTTTAATGATCAACAACTGTTGATTCTTACAGATGTTAAAATTTGAGACTGTCCAGGTAGTTGAGCTGGCATGAGAGAAGTTTTTGTAAGTAGAGATGAGCTTTGGTGTTGAAGGAACTGACACACTGTAAACTGGTGTGAACCTGTCAAAATCCTTAGGAAGTTTATAGAGCAGAACACTGTGATCTTCTCAGGTCATATATGACTATAATTCACATGGAATTGGAGGCATCTATTTGCTGCTCAGCCAAGAGGAAATGGGCCTCTGGCAGAGAGTAGATGAAAAGTGTCTACATTTGCCGGGAAGCTGAGGCATGGGATAAACCAGCATGTATGGATTGTCTGTCTTAAAGGAGACCTTGCGGAGTGGGTAGGGTCTAAATTCTGCTGCCCAAATGTCCTTGATTGTGCATAGAACAAACATTAGTGATGTTGGCTTTCCAAGAAGAATTTCTAAATAGATTTGATGTGAGAACTCGTTAGTAATAGATAATAAATCCCTTCTGCTGGAAAAAGAAACTAAGCATCATGAGAGTATGATTTTATCATTCATTGTTACTTTAGAAAAGGACAAGTGTTCCCTGACTTCATGGCTCTACTGGGGAGCACCTTGAAATAAACCTTGAGATATTAACTTTAAGATACTATGTAGCTGGGATTTAACTATGCCATTACAATCTCTGAGCTGGAATGAGATCATGAAACTGGAGAGTTTCTCTGACAACCAAACATTTTGAGCAAGAGGATTAAGTTCAAGGCCAGACTTGGAGCACAAATGACTTGATGCCATAATTAGGGAAACGAGGAAAATAAGAGGCTTTCAAAGACTTGAGATAGCAAGGATGCTGGTCAATATGTGAAAACCACACTATTGCATTAGGCTTCAATTTGATTTTCACTTAACTACCTTAAAGCTATATGGGAAAGTGAATTTTCTAATCTACAATGTGAAATATTGATGAGAGCTAAATCATAATACAAGCTTTGATCGTATGCCAACCACGTGGAGCATCTTAAGTCTCCACTTTAAAGAAATACAGCTAGAGTCACGAATGTGGTGTATTCATTGCTGAGGATCAATAATGGGAGGGTTGGCTTTTTGAATTTATCTGTAAAATGGTTTATCAGAGAGGTCTGCTTTCAGTTGATGACTGCTTAGTGTCTGATGAGGGAAGACTATAAAGGTTTCTGTTTTGAGTATATTCATGGTTGTATATTCATGATTGTATGTTCATGTATATGTGATTATATTCATAGGTGATGTAATGGTTTCTTTTATTGTTAACGTGGCTTTAAACTCACCATAGGAACACATCTCTCCACGAGTTTCTATGGAGATCTTTCAAGAAAGGCTTAACTGATGAGGAAAGCATCACCTTGGATCTGGGTGGTGTAATTTTATGAGCTGGGGTTCCAGATTAAAGAAACAGGGCAGAGAGCTGAGCAACAGCATTTGCCTTTCCCTGCTTCCAAACTCTGGATGCCATGTGCCCAGCCCCCTCCCGCTGCTTCTGCCATTCTCTTCCTGCCGTGATGGTCGCAAACCGTGAGCCAAAATAAATCCTTCTCAGCGACGTCTTTCTGGAAACATCCACACACACAAACACTTAGACAGATGTGCTTCCATGTGGATTCTAAATCCAATTATATCGACAATGAAGATTAACTATGATGGTATGAATGCCAAGGACAGGATACATACATAGATTTCAAAATTTCAAAAAAAAAAAAAAAATCTGCAAGACAGTGAAGCTAGTCATTGTCCTATAGAGAATAGAATGTTGGGCCCAGGGGGATGTGCAAAATAATGGGGTGCAAACCACAGTCTAAAACCAGAAGCAAAACTTTATTCCAAAAAAAATCACCGCACGGCACAAAATACTCATCAGCTCGCTGAGACCACAGCGATTCAGGATTCTGTAACTGTGGCAATTGGAGGGGGGTTCCTTTTTATAGTAAGAGGAAAGCATTAGGCATGGACAAAAGAAGTTTTACAATTTCGAAGTTAAACTTTTAGAGACAAATTGCTTTTTAGGTTTTACAGTTTTCCACTAACAAGGTTTTAGAGGGTTTTAGCTAGCTGATATTGGTACATCCCTCCAGTCTTTCCTGACACAGCGAATTGGTGTTTTCCCCAAACCTGCAACTTTTCCTGGCACAGCTGGGTTCCCGTGCAGGGGGCATAGGAAACAATGCAAAGCAGGTTGTCACGCAGAACTCATTAAAAGTGAACTTTGGTTTCAGTAGTGAGTGGTAGGGGGCTATTGAGAAGAGCAGACCCCAGGGCTGCAGAGCGCAATCTTTAGTAAAAAACTAACATTTGGGGTGCTGACAGAGCTGCCCATCATAAAACACAGAAGGATCCAGTTAAAGGCTAATCCCTATTTGCTGACAGAGCTGCCCATCATAAAACACGGAAGGATCCAGTTAAAGGCTAATCCCTATTTGCTGGCAGAGCTGATGGCTGTCAGTTTCCATCTCTTACGCTTTCAACTTTTTATTCCTATATTCCCATCTTATTCCTGCATTTCTACCTTATTTTTTTTTTTTTTTTTTTTAATTTTTTTCCGAGACAGGGTTTCTCTGTGTAGCTTTGCGCCTTTCCTGGAACTCACTTGGTAGTCCAGGCTGGCCTCGAACTCACAGAGATCCTCCTGCCTCTGCCTCCCAAGTGCTGGGATTAAAGGCGTGCGCCACCACGCCCGGCTCTCTACCTTATTCTTATATTTCTATCTTATTCCTATATTCCTGGATCCTTCATAGACAGCGTTTACTTGGCACTAGCCCGTGTGCAGAGCACGGCGCTGAGTTTTCATTTTACCTTAGAAATATATTTGGAGGAATCTTTTGACACTGATGCTTGAAGTGGCCAAGCGCTGCTGTCCATGCCTCCCACTACCAGGGAGGGACTGAGGGTGGGCTGGGAATCTGCTGGTAGGGTCCCAAGACCATTTCTATTCTTCACAGTAGGACCTTCTTTATCTATTGTCTTCACTCTTCCCTTCTGTCTGTCAAGGACAGCAGGATCTATTTTTGTTTCATTTTATCTTTGATTGAAGAGGCTGTTAATTTTCTTTTTTTGTGGTACCGGTGATGGTGCAAGTCACCATGATCCATGGAGTGTAATAGGACAACAGAAGGCTATGTAAATACAGGTTCCATTTTTGCGGCATTCTGTGTGTCTTTTTCTCTTTCTTACCTGTTTTCTATGATGAGAAGCTGGTGACTCCTAGACTTATCTTTTCATAGTGCCCTCAAACAGTCTTAGAACATACTTTGGTTTAAGATCATGAGAAGTGGCCATATTTTTTCCATACTAAATAAGAGATTTTGTGTATGAACAAATAAAGGTAATAACTTAGTTTTTAAATCAACAAACTATGTGAATTTAATACGTATTCTTACAACTTATGAAGATGTGAATTTGATATTTGTTATAAAAATGAAGACTATACTGGAAAAAAAATTCTCTATTTTAAAGAGAAAGAGACAAATTGCCATGTCTTGCGTGGCTCCAGGGATGGACCTGACTAGGGTAGTGAGGGAAAGAAGAAAAAACAGGCAGACTTGAGACACGGAGAAAAACTGGGTTTGCATGGACTGGACTCTGCTGGAGATCCCTCAGCACCCTGAAGCCCAGAGGGTTTATTATATAAGGCTGGACAGGGAGGCAGAGTTATTACAGATAAACAAGGAGGCCAGGTTTATGGGGTGCACCTGGATTAAGAAGGCAGGTTGAGCTAAACTCAGCTGGAACAGTCTCTCTGTAGGGGAGCAGTCTTCAGGCCATAAATATCCTGGGAGAGAAAGCCATGGTGGACATTTTCTGCACCCACTATCAACACATGGATGCCTGGAGGAGGCTTTTTACATTTCCTTCTGAGTCTCACTCCAAAGCAGGGGAGGAGGTTTTGCTATTTTCCTCTGAGCCTGAGGTGATGGAGTCTATAAGGTGATCAGGTGCCCTTGTCGACCACACACATTCATTCAGGACCTCACTCAGGTCTTCCTATGCCCCACTCAGAAATGTGGTCTATATTTCTGCAAATTTCTTTTTGAGATAGAATGATTAGTGGGCATTGTATTCATCTGATAAGATTGAATGTAAAAGACCCCTTTCCAGAGTTATAAAATGCCATAGAAATGGGACCTAGTTCTTTGAGCAGAGTCCTATAAACACAGGCTATTTATACAAATAATATTAAGTGAAGAAAATTGCTCCCCAAATCAGATTTTTGATGCATTTGAATCTTTATTCTACAACACAAGCGACATAAATACAGTATCTTTTAAAATATTTTCTCTTTAGAATTCGTTTTTCACTTCAGATAAAATATACACAAAATACACTTGCAAGCTTGCTTACAGAGACCTGGAAAACAGTGAACTGACAGATTATATCAAACCAAACAGTTATATCAACACTTGAAGGAGAGTGGTTTTCAGGACTTGGTAAATGTGAATGTGGCTAAGTATTAAGTCGAAACAAAAATGATACTTCCTGGACAGGCCTTTGGAGTAAACAAAACAATTCAAGGCTCCTGGTGAATTGGTTGCAAAGATGAATCGTCCATCTTAATAGGTAAAATGGTAAATCTACTCAATCGTTATGGCTATACTTAGCTTCATTTATTCATAATTTTTAATGAAAATAAGTTCATTCTTTGGTATAATACAAGAATGGATAAAAGGAATTCTACTCCCTAGCAGTTGTATTTCAAGTGGGGATAGGAGTAGGGGACCTGTCTGAAATGTAATTTGTTTATTCCTCTTAGAAAAATCATTGTGAAATATAAGATATTTGGCATGGTTAGGGGAATAAACATTTGAGTTTTAGCTCCCCACCATACCCAAGCACAAAGAAGGGAAGAAAGAAGAATAAGAAAGAAAGAAAGAAAGAAAGAAAGAAAGAAAGAAAGAAAGAAAGAAAGAAAGAAAGAAAGAAAGAAAGAAAGAAAAGTAACCTTTCCTTTCCCCCTGGCACCCCCTCCTACCCTATCAGGCCACACTGAATATTCTAACCACAGGGTCCCAATGGAAGAGGAACCCAAACACCCAAATCATTCATCTTTGATTAAAAGTAACCACATAGCAGGGAACTGATTGTTACCATACTGATTTCAAAGTGAACCAGAGGAAAGAACCGTGCGGGAAAACAGTGACAGAGGGTGAACACAGACCTGAGGTGAGTGTGGATGGTCACTGGTAGCTGATGGGATCAAGGGTTTAAACCTCCCTAGGTCTAAGAGAAAACCTAGGCTGGCTTTCAGGTTCTCGTCCTCCTTTTTGGCAACAGTTGATGAAATGGCTTAGAAATAAATTCTCCACAGAGATTGAGTTTTAAAATGTAATTGAAATCAGAATTAAATATGTGCATAGCTTTTAAATTGCTACGGGAAACAAAAAGGAAATAATAAAAACAATTATTTTCAACCACAAAGTCAAAGATGAATCCTTGACACCATTAACATTCTCATAAGCTTTCACTGATTTCAAGTATCTAGAAATGATCGCCTTCCATTCAAATAACAGTCTAAATGACGTAAATAGAAACTTTATTGGGTCATGAGAATTATACGGAACTAATGTAGTTTATAAATGGGCAATATTTAGAGTAATTACATTTCTCTTGAATCCTTGATTTGTTCCTCTTTTTTTTTTCACTTGTGTTTATTTCTTATTTTTGAGATGGAATCTCACTATGTTGTCCAGGCAAGCCTGAGTAGCTGGGATTACATTAATCGATTTTTAATTTACTTGGGTGTTTAATTTAGTAAAAATACAGATCATCAGTTCTTCCTCTTCCTATTATATGGTCCTTAAGTTTTAATCAAAAATGAATTTCTAGAGCTCATTAACTGAGCAAGAGAGTTAAAGTATAAACTTAGGCCCCATCTGTATTTGGGTTAACATTTCACTGGATTCTCAAAGTACAAAGATTGACTTTTCTATAGTCCCATCAGATGGAATAAGGATTAGTTTACATTGTGCTGATATCTTTATAAACACAATATTTACTGAAAAGTCAAGACAGTTATATCTACTGCTCAAAAGGAATTGTTTCATTTTGGAAATTTCCACAAAGCCATTTAGTAGACTCTTTACAAATAAACATGAAACTAAAACACTAACTTACACCACACAGTTAAGGGAAAGACAAGGGTACCCCCAGAAGTGTCAGAGCATTTTGAAATGCTGAAATGTTAATGACCAATTCAAGATGTAAAGGAACTGACGAGCAAGCAACTACTGAAAAACCTCTGTAAGCCAGGAGCCAGGCTGTAATGGAGCCGTACATGGAAACATCTCATTAAAATGATATAGAAAGGAATGCAAAAACCACATAAACTTGATTACCTTCAGTACAAATCAAAGGGTCAACAGGATACAAACAATCATTCATAGAATTAATTTCTAAATACAAAGACGAGAAGCTTGGACTTATCTCACTGTTCCATACAACATATACATTCATTGTCTTCTAGTATATAGGGACCAATTATTGGTATAATAAAACTGGGAGCGGGGAACTGGAATGTTGTAAGTAATCTAATCCCAAACTGTCCGCCCATGGGTCAGTTTAGTTTAGTGCTTGATAAGTCAGGTTGATGTGAAAAGTCAGTGATTTCTAGCCTGTGGTTCCCAGAGCAGCAGCAGCAATGGCTTCACCTGGGAGTTGGCTAGAAATGCAGATAGCTGAATGGAGAGAATCAGAAACTGGGCATCTGTGGTCTAACAAACCCTTAGGTGAATTTGGATGTATGCTAAAAGTTTGAGAACCACTGTTCTTCAGACGAAAGAAACTAGACACTGTTGGCTCAACTGACAGGACAGGAACTCACAGAGCAAAACAGTTCTTGAGATTTGAAGGACCTTGACTAGACGGGACCTTAAGTGTTGAGGCCAGCCAGCCCCTTCTCCCTGGAACCTCACTGCGTGATGATAGGAAGATACAGTGACAGGTTTTGTAGGGTGCTACTGTTGTCATAGTTTTGTCTTTTAATAAGCGGTATCCTGTTCATAAAGAAATGAAACATTGTTCTCAACTTAGTTTCTCCTGAATCATCTTGGGTGTGCATGATTTTTGTCTTTAGGAAAAACAGACAAAGTAATGTGTTTATATTTTGAACATCTAATTGGTGTTTCTAGCCCAACATGTCAATGAAATTTTTAGGTACCTTTATATCAACTGCAAACACTACAAGATGGCCCGAGCAAGGGGATTTCTTAAAAACAACCTTTTCCTAGACTGATCTACTATGAATAAGGGCAATTTATTTTCTAAGAGGGCATAATTATAAATCAAACCCTTTACCAATTTTATAAATCTTTCCCAATATCAAGTTCATATTTTCAATAAAAAAAATGCTAAAAAAATGTGACTTTACTATTCTAAGGCCACCCTAAATCTTGCTGGGTTCCTGCTACGTGGTTCCCAAACACATTTGTGTCCTCAGGTTTCTGCAGGACTCTGGAGTCCTCACCTCCTTCTTCACCTATGGCAGTAAGCAGAAATGTTGGGGTGTGGCACATGGTCCCACACGTACTGTCCTACCTGGAACTTAGGTCTGTTTTGTACAAATTGCTGTTTCCTACTCCGAGGATGTGTACATTTTTGGGGATGGATTATTCTGTGTGTCTCCAAGCTTTGATGGGGACCTTGGCTTGGCACTTGCCAGAGAAGCTGGCAAAGGGGCTCCACTGGCTACGGGGCACTTTGTTGATTAAATGATACGTGAAAAGGTTCCTGAATTAATTACACATGCCCATGCAGGCTGCCATGTTTCTCTGTATTTACAGTCATCCAGGCGTGGCAGGGACCCCATTGTTTCTAACATTACTGGGGTTTTAATGTAACACTAAATATTTTCTTTAGGGTTAACATCTAGATTTTGGTATACATTATAAAGACATTACTTTTAAAATCTGCATAATACTCCAGATAGGTCCAGGAAGCAAATATTTTCATTTTAATCGTCTAAGGAAGGCCTTGCAGTTTTCCCATTCTCTCTTGCTGCAGATCTTACTCAGTATTGACAGTTCAATATATGAGAAAGTGTGACCTTTGTGTTCAGGGATACTTCTTTGCAAACCACTTTGCCTTTTATTTGTTATCCTGAGCAAATCACGAACCTCTCTGGATCTGTGAACTAGACTAGGAGAAAACCCTGGTTTTATAAAGTAACCCAGGGTGTCACCTCTTTCAAAAAAGATCTTCATTCTGTTTAGTTTGGTTGGACTGATAGAAGATTTTTCCTTTTTTTTCAGCAACTATTTTTATTTTATGAGTATTTGCATGTATGTATGCATACCATGTGTGTGCCTGGTGCCCCCAGAGGCCAGAAGAAGGCATCATATTCCCTGAAATTGGAGTAAGAGATAGTTCTGAGTCACCATGTGAGAGCTGAGAACCAAACCCGAGTCTTCTGCAAGAGCAGCAAGTGCTCTTAACCCCTGAGCTATTTCTCCAGCCATAGGTTTTCTGGCTTAAAAAGGAATGATTTCTAAGTAGTGCTGTTCTCTTTTGGGGGAGACGATGGATCTGTATTACCTTCCTGTAATTAAGGCTATTGGACTCTCTTCATTGACTGTGGAAGTATTTTTTTTTTTTTTAAACAAAAAGCATGTGTTGATCATCATACCAGCAAATCTAAGTTAAAAGGACTTTGGACATTAACATTTGTGGTTTTGAGACAGGCTCTTACACTGTAGCCCAGGCTGTCCTGGAACTCACTCCAGTTGGCCTTGCACTCATTCCAATCCTCTTGTTTTCTTAGCCTCTCCGGTGCTGGGATCAGAGACGTAAGTCTGGCTTGATTTAAAATATTTTAAGTTGAGCTGTAGTGTCTGTTAGCATCTTCCTGAGTCGCTAGTGACTAAATGACCCCCAAAATGGTAACATTTGGCATTCATGAAGAAAGCTGTGTCTCTCGTGAAGGGAACAAGAAAACAGCGTGTCAAGGGACAGCCTAAACATGGCTAAAAACTGAGCTGCAAGGGGCTAAGTGAGGCTCTGTGATCCACTATTAAACCTGACAGCTTGCTCTACAGGCCCTCATGTAGCCCAGGCTGGCTTCAGCCCATGTAGCCCAGGCTGGCTTTGAATTTCTATCTTCCTGCTCCCACCTCATGAGGACTGGGATTGAGAGTGTGCACCCTGCTGGGCTGATAGCTAGGCCCCTGGGCTGCCTGGTTTTGTGGTGCTGGGTTCCCTGTTTCATGATGCGCAGTTCTCTAAGCAAAGGAGGCAGAACATTTCAACCTCAAGCAATAAAACTTTGGCAGTAAATATAAGAGAAGCAACGTGCAAAACCGTGATCTGCTCGCCTCGGTACATACAGAGATGATGACTGTTTTAAAGTTCAAAACCCTACCTTGACCTTCAGCCTATGTGACTCAGGAAACAACACTGGTTCCATTCAGACGCTGAGTGAGAGAAGGGTAGAGGCTGAGACTAGCTACTGAGAGGGACTGATTGGCAGTGAGGGGAGGGGCCTGGTTACCTGTGTGTCCTCTCACCTGAAGGACGGACTACTCACTCACTGGCCATTACTTTGCACTGATCAATGTTCCATTTGAAACCATAAATCCCTCCCTCTAGCTGGACTCTGAAGGATGCAGATGTCTTCTCTGGAGTACAGAGAGCTTTGGGGGCGGTCTGAGAACAATGTGGGACTTGGAAGGGACTCTCAGAGGATGATGGGAAGATCTGCCAATGTTGCCAACATTGCAGGTAAGGACATCTTGGGTCCAACATTGGCTACATCTCATCTTTTTATTCTCAGGCCACACTCGGGATGTTAGAGAACACTTTCACAAGCTAGTCTCGCATGCTTTTCTAGCCAGTCTGTGAGAGAACAGGGTTTTACTTCTGGGACATATGTACAAGGAAACTGGCTAATATACTTCACGAAAGGTCACATTTTGTGACATGCTGTAATTCTGTAATGTGGTTAACCGCGGCTCTCTTTCCAGTAAAGTGAGGTACTTATAGGCAGACCAAGAACAGATCCCCGAAGAATCTACAAAATTAAACAGCTATAACTCAACAAAAATTATACTGCTTTTGTTGAGAAAGACAAAGCAAAATCTTTAACTCTCAACTACATTTACAAGGTATATAAAAATCTAAAATTGTAGATAAAAGAATTCATTGCTTATTCAAACAAATATAGTTGAGAGACGGGGATGCATCTCAGTGGTGGGGAACATTTGCGTGCCTTTTATGGGACCCTGGGTTGATTCCCAGCACTAGAAAACAGAGGAGCCAAAACATCTGTTTAGATCAATTTTTAAACTTGGGTAATAATCTAAGTTGAGTCCCTGTCTCTGAAGGCAGAGATTGTTTTGTGGGACTAGGAAAACGTCCCCCAGATTCGGTGATCTGCTTAGGGGGCATGCTGAACGGAGATTTCTTTTTGACCACCCAAGCAAGCCAAAGCACCTTGCTTTTGACCTTGTAGATAGTTACGTAGTTCTCATGGAGGGCAACATTTATGAATATTATCACTGGATAAAGTTCAACCTCTGTTAACTCCTTCAATACTGAAGCGTGGAAGTTTCATTTTTAGAGGATGCTGTGTGAATACATTTTTAGGCCACATCTGCCTCAGTAACTAATCCTACACTGTGGAGTTTAAGTTGGCTTGTCTGAAAAGCTTTAGTTTTTATTATAATGTAAGAAACATACAAAACATATGGTAAGGGCTGTGGGGATGCTCAGTGGTTCCTAAGTATGAGGGACTGACCCTCAGACTCAATTCCTAACCCCCAACGGATATGATTCTATGTTTCAAATGAACTTTCTAATAATACTTACAAAAAGAAATAGACATTTAAAATATTGGCCTGAATCACATGAGTTAAAAGAGAGTAACTCTGCTAGAGAGAAGTGTTTCATATATAGAAAAAAAAAATAGTTTCCTAAATTCATTTTGTCCCTTCCCACTCGGTCTGGAGTTTGCATAACCGACACCAACATTTCACAACTGTATTGTAGTTGAAGATTTACAACGATTCTGTCACAGTCCCTAGCCCACCCCTTCCAGCTGTATCCCCCACCCCACACTTCCTGCCCCTCCCCTGAGAGGTATGCTCACCAGGTGGAGGACTGAGTTCACGTCCTCCCAAGGATACTGATATAAAATGAATTGCATCTTAATCTTTCTTAAGCTCCGAGTGTCATACCTTATGTTCAGATAATGTTGTGGGGCATAGAAATGTCTGTGCAACAAAAGACTAAGGCACCATTTTTCTTTGCCTGCCTTGGGAACAGAAGCAAAGACTCATGGGACACAGGGTAGTCAGTATCAAAGTCTTGTGACTGTGCGCACCCCTGGGTGCTTCAAGCGCTGCCGAGCCACAGACTTAAAAATCATGCTAGGAAAGAATTTCCTTCCTTTAGAAACAGAGAAATAAAGGCACAACTGTACCTTACCTGGGGAAGTTGTGAATAATAACCTGAAAATCTTAACAACTTAATCATAAGGTTGAAATGTTCCTGAATACATTTTAGAAGTCATTTTTCTTGATTAGAACATTGGAAAAATACACTTTTGCAGTTTTCTTCCCAACCAAACTATAATCAGAATATAAACATTCTTCTGATCGAATGTGTATCAGCTTGACTTACCAGCAAATGTTTCCTTAGGACTTACATTGATTTTGAAAATGATGGATTAAATGGACCGGCCTAGGGCTTCTAAAGGAGAGTTGTTGAAAACGACCCATTTTGGGTATAATACTGCAAGCAAATGCACTTGGAAATTAAGTTTAGATTTAGAAATGTATCAAGGAATGCAGACTCTTCTGTAATAATGTGCAAGGCCAGAGATCACCGTGTCACTTGGATACCACTTTGGCATCCAGACTAGCCCAAGGCTAATTAGGGAGAGCTTGGAAAAAGCTTTGTCCTAGGTTTCAGAGAACTAGTTTCTCAGAGACCTAGTCTGAGTGGGCTGGTGGGAGGAAAAATGCAATCAGCTGGACGGGCAGGCAGACTCTGACCACGGGGATCTGAGTCCTCTAAACGATGATGTCGTAGACACGGCCCACTCTCCCCAGCCATTCCCTCACAGCTTGACGGACTCTGATGTCAGTCACGTGACAGGTCAGCTGGCTGATGCACGGGAACACCGCTGGCTGGAGCGCTGTGAAGGTCTGGTCTGGAAGGATTTGAATCTGATTGAGAACGGTTAGCACCATGTTGGTCCATGCCTATGAGAAAAGGATGTAAGAGAATTACTGGCTATCTCATGGTTTTGCACGGCAGTGTTGTTAGGCTCTGGAAATCGGTAAATGGTTTTCTCAGGATTTAGCTCTAGTAATTTAATGTGCCTGTAAGAAACTGGTTTTCACTTCACATATTGAAGGAAGGGAAGAGAATCATCTAACATGAGGGATGTCTTAGGTTTAGCCTTCACAAACTATTAAGAATAAAAACACAGGAGGAAATGTCTATGGGGCGTTGATAGTTCAGTTAGCTATCTGCTAACACCTGGATCACTTGGGATAATTCTACCTTAATTTAGGAGATTAAAACCCCAATACATTTAAAAGCAATTAAGATATAGGAGTCACCAAGAAACTGATCTGCTAAGGAATACACAAGTGTCTCATGGCTACTAGATACTTTAAAAGATCAACCTACTCCAAACCATGGATGTTCCTCAGCATAGAGGGCCTGCCTCGCATGCATGGGGCCTTAGGTTCACCCCTAGTGCTGAAGAAAATGGTCTAGGAAACTTAGGCAGATTCTGTCTTACGAAGTGTACTTCGCTGTTGAATATGTTTCCAAGGAAAAGGCATGACTCCTGCAAGAGTCATGCTCACTTCAAATGTATGCACACGCAGAGGTTCCTAGGGTCCCCCCATCCTCTGAAGTACTGCATCTCTAGCCAGACTCTACAGTAAAGAATTTTCACCTAGAATCCCCCTAGTTCTTTGTTTCCATATTTTCTTATACCGAATAAACACCATTGATGCTGTTTGCCCCTCAAACTCATTTTGACGCGCTCTATACGTGCTAAAGATGGTTAAAATAATTCATCTTAACCCAGCAGCATTCACTCTGGCCTTTTTCTTTATACACTGCTTCAGAACTACAGAATATCCTCAGTGCTGGATTCAAATAACAGAAGGAAGGCTCAAGGCCAGTTAAAGCCCCTTGATTCTTATCCGCTTTAGCATCTTAATTATACAGGTGACTTTCTACTTCTCAATTATGTGTCACATATAGAAAAATGGCTTCTGAAATGATCTGAGAAGAAAATTTGTTTCTCAGGCAGATGCTACACCTCGGTCCAGTCATTCTGACTTGGAGATATGATTTACATCTCCTGCCATGCACCAGTTCGTTCTCTCTCTCTCTCTCTCTCTCTCTCTCTCTCTCTCTCTCTCTCTCTCTCTCTCTCTCTCTCTCTCACACACACACACACACACACACACACACACACACACAGCCTGAGCTGCCCACAGCATGTAGCTCAAACATAGCCAAGGAGGCCTTGAACTTATGATATCTGTCTCCACTTCCTCTGGGCTATGATTGCAGGACTGACCATACCTAGTTTAGGGACGTGCTGGGGATATAACCCAGGACTCTTTGCATGCTAGGCAAGCACTCAAACTTCATCCTCAGTTTCCTTTGCTGGTTTCACATCTTTGAAGGCACAGGCTGTGCAAGAGGACACCTCTGGTTTCTGCAACCCAGAAAACTGCTAGCTGGAACTCACCTGGATCTGTGCCTCTGCATCTCGAATAGAGACACTCAGGGAGCTCCCTGTGGAGCCGGAGCGGGGCCTCTTTTCCTGCCTCAGCAGCTCTGGGCCTGCGCTGAAGGAATGGCGCATCTGCCCTTGGTCCATAAGATGCTGTGGCCGCTGAAGCAGTGGTGAATCGGGACCGCGGGGCCCCAGGGGCTCCCCCTTCTTATCCACCTTGACGTCCTTGGGGAAGGCAGGCAGGTTGTGCGGCTGCCTCCTTTTCTTGTACTCAGTCATCAGCTTTGAGATGGTCTTGTCCGCAGCCATGGTGCAAATCTTGTTCCCGGCGCTTTCCCACCACTCTTTCTTGCGGCCTGGATCCTTCTTCTCGGTCTTGGGGCTGGGAGGCAGCATCAGCATGTCCCCGCTGCCCACCCTCAGGCTCAGGGGCTCACTTAGGTGCTCCCTGCGGTCGTCTTCCGAGGGCGTATTTTTCCCGGAGAAGCCACCCGTGGACGGGGTGGACGACTCCGACTGGAAGGAGGGGAGGATGAAGAAGGGGTCGCTCTTGAAGGTGGGTGGCTCCTCCAAGCTGCTCTCCAGGTCCAGGTGCATCTGGATGTAGTGGTTACAGAGCTCCATGCACAGCTTGTGCAGCCTCTTGACCAGCCACGCCCAGTCCGCGTTGCTCACGGGCTGCACGCTGAGCGACGGCAGCCGTGCCCTCCACTGCCTCTTCTCCTTGCCTCGCGGGGGGCTCACCTGGGCGGTCTCCTCAAAGATGTCTTCATCCTCCGAAGAGCACTGCTGTGAGGAATCTGAGCTTCTCTCCTCCTCGTCGAAGAGGACCTTCTTCACTTGCTCGGCAGTGATGGTTTCCTGGTTGGTGAGGACCGCGCACACCAGGGCGTGGAAGTAAATGTTAAAGCTCATGGCCGACTGGCGGTACAGGTTGGCGGCGCCTCCGATGCCGGACACTTTCTTCAGCAGGCACTTCAGCCCTGGGCTCGTGTCGAACTCCCGGGCAGTCCTGTAGGAGTCCAGCAGCAGGTCAAATATCACAGCCAGGTTCTGCATGGAGATGTATCGGAGGAAGCCGGCCAGCTTGGTGTCCGGCACTTGGACCGAGGTCTTCTCCTCTCCTGGAGAGGGGCCTTTGACAAACTCTTCCAGCAGGACATCGTACAGGTTCTGGAGCAGTACTTGGTGAGAGAGCAAGCTCACCACGATCTCCCTGAAAGAGACGCTTCAAAGGCAAAGACAGGGAGTAGTTAGTCAGTCCTTCCTTCACAGCAAGGTAGGCGTGATCCATTTCAGAACATGTGACACTCCAAACTAAATCCACTGTGTTCCAACAATTATTTTTAATTGTGTGTGTGTGTCTCCACCAAAAATTATTTTTAATTGTGTGTGTGTGTGTGTGTGTGTGTGTGTGTGTGTGTGTGTCTCCATGCTGAATATGTGTAGGTCAGGGGACAACTTGTGGGGTTCAGTTCTCTACTGCGACCCCGATGTGTGTACAGGGGGAGCTAACTGAAGTCATCCAGCCTGGCTGCAATCACCTTTACCCACTAAGTCCTCTTGCCTGCCTATTAGTATCTTTGAAAGGGGTAAACTTCCATTTTAATCATGGCTGACAGAATTCCTGGCACTTCTTAAAATCCAGGAGCTGTAGACTGCAAGTTAGGATACTGAATGATCAAGCCATAGGAAATAAACGCAGCACCTTCATTAAAAAAATTACACATGATTCATAAGACAGGACATCCCTAACCCTTCCAAACTTCTACTCTGTTCTCTTACACACACATATTGAAATCTTACTGGTTTGGTTTTGCTACCAAGACAGTTTTCAAGGGTCAAATGTTAATGCTTTAGGTGCTGGAAAAATTTATGCCACTGCTATTATGGTGCTAACATTACAAGATGAAAAATATTGGTAACATAACTCATAACCTTCTACAGCAACCCTGGAAAAACAGCATTCACTCCCATAAACCCTCTATCTGCCAGTCTGGCCACTGGGACTGCGGCACAAACCTTGTGTAGTCATTTGATTTCCCTGAGCCAAATTTCAGGTCAGCTGTGTGGGACCGAGAGATGAGAGAGGACTCATCCTCTGTAGACATCAGTCCAGGGCATCTGGCTGAGGGGTGGGCAGGTAACAAATGATAATCAAACCCTTTTCTAATCAAGTAACAGTTCAGATATGGTAGTTTATATGTAAGTGCTTGAATGCTTGGTTTGGCTGCTTTTTGTGCTGAGAAAATACTATTTCAGGCACTGTATTTACCACTCTAATGGACCAGTGTGGTTTGTGGCTTTGTGTTCCTTTTACTGTTCCTAGAATTTTGTGAAAATAGCTTAGACCATTATATCACCTGTATCATTATACTGCCAACTAATTCCTTTAAATGATACAAGGTCCAGACTTTTTTTGTTTGTTTGTTTTTTCAAGACAGGGTTTCTCTGTGTAGCTTTGCGCCTTTCCTGGAACTCACTC